ATCCTCCCGCTTTAACCTCGCAAATTAAGACCGAGTACATCCTCGTTCTGTTTTAGAAAAGATGCATACTTACCTGAAGCCCAGCTAATGAAGAGGGGGAGGGGGCAAGGGTAAGGTAACTGGTACAAGTTACAGGAAATAAAAACGGCACTTTACGTTTTTACAGGAAATAAAATGAAAGTTCCATTTACAGTAAAATATAGGTTTTTTACACTTTAAACTTTAGCAAATTCTTAATTACATTTTACATTTTCATAATATTTTTGATAATTTGTGTTTAAAAATCAAAATTGGAAGTTGCGTACGAATTACGACATTTAATTTGGAAAATGCTTTATACGCTTACAAAAAATAATATCTTTGTACAAATTACGAACGAATAAAATAGGTGATGACATTTTACACCTTGTCTACGAATTTACGTTTTTTATTTATTTAAATTACATTATTACGAAAATAAAAACAATTGATTACAGCTTACGAAAATCCCTTGCCGACCCCAATTGAATGCATATCTAATTCAAGATGAACGCATTAGCGTTACTTAGAAGTGGTGCAGAATCAATGTAAAGTCTTTTTACCAATGACCTTATGCATTGGTCCAGAAACTATGTTCTTGATAGCCTTTAATGGAGAAGCAATGGTAATTTTATGGAACACCTTCTCTCTGAACAATTCGACACTGATGCCTAATGTAGCGCGTGTTCGAATTTCATGTAAATAAGCAATGTAATTTACACGCCTTGTATACGTCGCTATGAGTTCCATATCGAACAAGACGCGGTGCGACGACCGCCGCCCTTTAAGTTCGGCCTATGAATGGCATTTCTTATTTCGCCGACTTATAATATATTTATTTTCACTGTTATTCTCATAATCATTTGAATTAAGTCAACTTCCAGATTCTAAAGATATTGTTCAAAGTCTGCACCAGATTAAACCCATTGACGATTAAACTGCATGCGGCTAGTGCGTTGCACCATCGAACCCTACACTGTCTATGATTGCACATACTGAATGCAAGAACGAAATAAAAAACAAACATATTAGTTGGTCTTCACTATCTACTGAGTAACTTAATTTGCAATTACTTGAAGGTCTAGTCATGTCACCAACTTTGGCTTCTCTAATCTGCGCTAGTACAGGTTATGACATCATAGACATAGATTTTAAGAATGCACATGTTTTGAAAAACACACTAACAAAAAAAAAAAGTTTTTTTTCCTGATACCTCGACATATATTGGTGTGTTTATTCATGTTAGACATTGTGGGGGTATTTGTGGTGGCTTTTTGTAATTCGTTTGCTCGATAGGAACCCATGGCGCAAAGGTGATTTACCCTACATGCACCGCACGGCTTGAAGCTCTCCCTGCTTACGTCAGAAATGATTCCTGCACATGCGCACCACGTCACGAAAGCATCCTGTATTATTTTGCGTTTATGTCGTCTGTGGGGAAACACCGGATTTCCACGTTAACAGTGAACTCTGGGACTATATAGCTGATTCGACACTGATAACAATATTATTAGGTAACGTGACAACACTCTTCTTTGTGTTTCTTATTTACTGCTTAGTAAATACGACAAAAATACATCACGATCATCGTTTCGGCAGCCATTTTTTGTATCGTTAGATTCTGGTGATTTCACCGGTTGTCTGTTAAACCGTTGCCTGTCAGCTGTTTTACCCGTAATCCGTTTTATTCGGTATCTCAGTTTGGAAATCGTGATCACACTGTATATCACATTTAGTCGGGTATGTTCTCGTATATACTCTAGAACCGTGAAATTATTACTATGAGATGTGTTCAAATATGATACGATTTGAATGTCGAACGGGATCGGACAATCGTTCCGTGAGAACATGTGATAATGACATGCGGGCCCTGTGAGTACCACGAGCAACCTACACTGAAGATGGCGTACTTTGAATGAAATCGCTTCATAGCCGGTGAAGTATTTCGTTTTGATCTGAAATTTCACAACTATATAACAAAATCCGATGTCTCTATTTTACGACATTTTCTAAACACCGGGTTGAAAGTTGACTTCCGGGTTGATGATTTGCGACGACATCATCACTATAGCTGATTCGTTTTATGCAACGTAATCGAATACACGTTCCCCTTCTAGTTGTATGGCTAATCAGAACTGTACTTCTAAGGAAACATTGATTCAATATTATAATATAGAAATAATATACTTATTGTTATTTCTGAAACCAAGTTTGATTTTTTTTTCAGGGTTGGCTATTCACACATAATTAAGTTTCAGATAAAGTACCAACATTATGACAATGCACCCACAGAAATGTTGTAATTGATGTTTTCCTGCAATACACAGAATCAAAAAAGGCAGCAACACTATTGAACAGCGATGAATGGAGAATATTGTTAAATGCCAGAAGCGTTTACAGTTACATAAGAGATATGCATCTTTCATTTTAAAGACAGAATTTCTAACTTGAAATACATTCAAATATTGCATTTGCAAAAATGGCTGCCAAAATATCACCGCCGCCAAATGGAATTTACATTGTACAAGGGGAAATGTCCCTTGTGGTTACTGCTATGAGGCGAAATTCTCGGTGGAGCTCTCATAGTCCACAGGTAAGTGCAGTGACCATTTTTTCAACTCTCAAAAATCATTCTATCTCACTTGAAATGTATTGTTTTATACATTACTGATTGAGTAGATTTTCCTTTACATATAAACATCACATGGATCATATTAAGAAAAATACATATCACATCAGTTACTTTAATGAATCAGTCTCACTCAGTTTTAAAAAAAAAAATTGCAGGATGCTATTTCTGATATTTTATGGGTCACTTAAACTTTAATTATTTTTCACAGATTTACTCAAATATTTAAAATTACTGCACAAATCTATTGACCTTGGAGAATGAAATATACCTGGGTAATGTTAAGTTGATTTTATTTTTTTGTGTTGAAAATTTGTTATTAAAGGGCCTCTCTCTGTCTTCAAGGTCAAATTGTGTGTAAACAATTCATTTTACACATTCTGTATACAAGCCATGGACCCATAACAAAAACAACACTGTGATAACGTTACTTGATGATAATTCATATGATTTATGATTGAAAATTTTTACTACATTATTTTTGTCAGTAGATTTTGTTTAAAAAATTAATATATTTAAAGCACACTGGTAACAAATAGTTACTTTCCCAAGAGCATCTTAAATAGGCAATGAATTTCATAATTGATTTCATATTTGCATTGCTGCTGCGTGACAGTTTCTGCTTAGTGGATTCATAGTTATCTTTCGTATAATAATGAATCCTGCTGGCATTAAATATTACCTGTATAAAATGTCAAATCAGAGTACATTTGAT